ATTTAAAAAAAAAAAAATCCACACGTGGTTAAAAATTTATCACTCTGATTTTGATGAGCCAATCCTATTTTGATGATGCCCAATTATCCTATTCGACAAATGTCCATTTATATACAAGCATAGCATTGTAGTGGATGAATGATTGAGCATGTTAGACAAAATAAAGATAGATAATACACAAGAAAGAAAGATACAGTACGTACTCATCTCTAGAGTTATATTAAGAGGGTAAGATAAGATTTCTACGAATGAAATAAATTTAAGTATATATCTTGAATTCTGTAAGTTACAAATAATATAAGGATAAAAAAATCCTAATTAAAAGTAATAATACATAATTTTAAGTTGAATTATGATAAGCAATGGAAAAAAATATTATTATATTCGATTTGATTTTAATCCTTTAAAAAGAACTCATTCATTCAAAACATGAACAATCATAGTTACCATACCCAGTGAAAGCATCGAATTAGTGGGTCAGTGGTTCAACTATCAGGTCAATAGTTAAACGGATCATTATCGAGTTAAGAACTATCCATAAGATTATAAATTAATGTGTAAAATTAATCCTCATTTGCATTATAGGGGAAGATTATTGAAGTTGGAAAAGAAAAAGGGAGGGAGAGCAGAATGGAGACCATTAGGTTGGAAACCTCAATAGGAATCCTTTTGTGGTGCCACAGGATTCTTTCGAAAATTAATTAAATAAAAATTTTAATCCCATTTGCATGCTGTCTCTTGAATGCATCCTAAAAAATAATATATATATATATATATATATATATATACACACACATATATATAGAATGTTCATACGAATTATTCGGAGGAACGAATATGAATCATGGAATTGAAATGGACAATAATTGTTAGTTATGTGTCACTATTTGATGTTGGCAATGCTTAAAATAGAACATAATCTTACAATCAATCAACCCGAAGTATAATGTTTTTTTATGTCAATTATTTAGAAAGGCTTTTGTTCTAATGTTCTCTTCACTCTATCGACATATATATATACACACACACACATATATATATATATATGTGTGTGTGTATATATATATATATATATGTGTGTGTGTATATATATATATATATATGTGTGTGTGTATATATATATATATATATGTGTGTGTGTATATATATATATATATATGTGTGTGTGTATATATATATATATATATGTGTGTGTGTGTATATATATATGTCGATAGAGTGAAGAGAACATTAGAACAAAAGCCTTTCTAAATAATTGACATAAAAAAACATTATACTTCGGGTTGATTGATTGTAAGATTATGTTCTATTTTAAGCATTGCCAACATCAAATAGTGACACATAACTAACAATTATTGTCCATTTCAATTCCATGATTCATATTCGTTCCTCCGAATAATTCGTATGAACATTCACATGTTAGCCATTTTTTTTTATCAAACGTGTAATAGCTAACTAGTATTGTCTAATTCTTATCAAGCAAAGCTTTCATTAGGTATGGGAGTGGAATTATTCCCTTTGAACAATTATAGTTTATTACAATAATTCAGTATTTTATAATGACTCACAATCCTTTGACACGTAATTTTAGACATAATAGAATTGTAAAATAGAGAAGCTTTTAATATTTTTTTTTTACTCATATAATTTTATCCTACAACCTAACTTACTAATTAAAATACTATTTAACACGTCTATATAGCTTTACATTTTTACTTACTTTCTGATCATTCTACTAACTTACCAACTACTCTTCTTGCATGAAAAAATAAGACAAGCATGTGAACGGGGAAGTAAATTTATAAATGCCTTTATAAGATTTTGGGTGAAAACGAGTGTGAAGTGATCAAGGTCTCATGACTTTATAATATAGGAGTTAAAAGTGAATAATTAATTTTCAAGGACTTGTTTGACAATTTTTCATGAAACATTTAGTAGATTTTGATTAAAGTTGATTAAATGTATGATTACAAAAATTGATAAAAATTATAATTTACAAGAAAGGTGTAACTAAAATTAAAATTTTTAATCAATTAAAAAGTTGATAAAATCGTAACAAGATTTTATTAAACAAGTACTATGTAATGTAATACTTTCTCAGTCTTACAAAGATAGACTTATTTTCATTTTTTTAAAATTAAAAAAGTATATTTAATATAAATTGGAAATATAAATTTTTCTTACATTATATCTAATATACCTCTAAATCAAATAATTGTTTAAATATGAATAGTTCAATTTAGAGCATGTTAGAGCCCTCATTCTCTTGCCAAAATTGCATTTTGAAATAGTGATTTAATGGACAATATGTTATTAAGAAACAAGGAAAAATTTTAAGTTTGTGTATAATATTATTTTATTGAAAAATGTACAATTCAAAATAAAAAAGAAAATGTATTTTAAAAATAATGAACACCAAACAATAACTAAATATGAATATACTATAAAATTAAGAAATTAACTATCCTACCAGTAATGAAAGTGACATATAATTTGAGATAAATTAAAAAAAAAAAATCATTATAGAACTAAGGGATATTATCCAAGTAGTAGTAAGTCTTAGAAATGCTTATCACATGGAAAATATATGAGAGAAGTTATAGGCATGAGCCCTGCTCCCTGTCCCGGGTTTGGGACAGGGCCAGGGACAGGGGCGCCTGCTCCTGGCCAGCTCCCCTCCAATAGGGGGGCATCATGTGGTGCCCCTGTCTTTCTTTCTGTCCCCAAGCCGGAACAGGGAGAATTATTCCATAGGTATAAGGACTTGTTCACATCCCTGTCAGGCAAGAAACAATTGGGGGCGGGCTCCATATATATTTTAAATACATGTGGGGCTCGCTTCCAAACAGTGAGGGCCCCTCTATGAAACCTACACCTGTACGTGCATATTTTTCTAGAATATATACCAGTTATTAGGAATAAAAAGCAATTTTGACTAGTCATTTGTTTCTGTCTGTAAGACTTGTAAATGACCATAATCGGGTTATTTTTCAATTCAACAAACATTTTGATTTTCCACTTTAAATAAACATAAAAATTGGAATTACGTTACAATAACGTTTTTATTTTTTAATAGGAAAATCAAGTAGGATATTCATTTACTCAATAATTAATAAACCTTCAGAATTGTTTTCTTTCTCTTTCCACGAACAAGTTGATGGTAATAAAATAACAAAGTCGTTTCAAATTTTTCTAGTATAATTAATTCACCACCAAACTTTGTTAAATAAATTGTATGATTAGAATATTCCTTATTTATTCTTACATTGACATCAATTTAACATTAACAGCTTGTTTGGAAGCGATTTTTTGATCAAAAAATTAATTTTTTGACCGTTATTTCATAATTTCAGCCGTCATATTTGACTTCTTCTTTCACAGATGGACTCCACTTTTCTCCTAAAGATCAAAAAATTAATTCTCAAAATCACTCTCAAACAGACTCTAAACTAACAAATTTGTGGACATTAAGAAATACATACTAGGTGGAGATGGTTGGCTAATGATGTGTGAATCCAATTAATTAATTAGTCTAACCTGATTTCCACAAATTTAATCAGCCCACTTATTTTCTTAATTAATATTTTAATACAAAATGGTTCAACCGACATCGTGGAGAACACGTGGTGACCAACCATTGGATAACATGGCATTATAAAAGCAATTTTTTTTAAAAAAAATAAAAAATAAATTCGGACATCTAAATAAAGAGCTGGCACATCTTATACTATAGTCTATGCAGCCACAATTTACTTGACAGCAAAATTTGATGACGTGTCCCCCCGCTACACCACGCCGCCCTTACCCCACTTCCCAACTTCAAACAATTGAATGCCTGCTTTCATACAATGAAAATGAAATTTATGACATAGAGTCCCCCAAACATTACTACTTGTCTCACTTGGGTCCCCAAAATTTATTTCTTTCCTCTTTTTGGGTACACGCATAGGCAAATGGATAGAACTCATTCAATTTTCTTTTAAATGGTCACCTGAAAACCACATTATCCATCCTTGTTTGGGAATTTCACAGGTTTTCAAGTAGACTAAACTCATAAGAAAAATGATCATCTTCAGAACTGTCAGAAAAAATTGTTAAATCGAAAAAGCAAGCTGAAACAACCTTTTTGAAGCCATCAATTAGATGCAACATGGACATGTCAACAAAATGATTTTCAACCAAGCCAAACCGTTATAAAACAATTTCTTTTTTATTTTTTAATAGATTTCAACATTTCAATGGTGATTTGAAATTAGACCAAATCATTTAAAACTTAAAAATAAATAGTATAAAAAAATAAAATTATATCGAAAATTGATCCAAATTGGACATCGATCAAACCGAGATATTACCCTTCACCTCAAAAAGAAAGATAATTACCTAAGTTTCAATTTAAATATAAATAGTTAGTCAAAATTCACTTGCCGACTACTCTAATTTGATAAATCAATCCAGCATCATTCATAGTTTGTACTTCATAATTTAGACACCAAACAATCTTCACGTCATAAACATAGATTTATAGATTGATATATATAGTTCGTCCATTGTAAGTCACTATTAGACCTAAAGTTGAACGATATTCAACCATTTGGTGGAAGGCAAAGAAAGCCTCTTTCTCCGGATATCGCTCATTCAATGAGATATCAATTCAGAAGAGTTAGAACTTTAACCACATGTTAGAATGTATGAGTCGAATAATATTTTAAAATAATTAGTTCGTACGTGGAGCAGACCTCCCAAAAGGTAACAAAGGCATGTAGAGATTTTCTCAAGCCATACAAAGATAGGTCCCTACTTCATCGAGAATGGTTATATTTGTCCCATTTCCTAAGTTAACGAATTCTGATCTTGCATCAAAAGAAACAGTTAGGGACCTAAATATCACAGAGAAATGAATGGGGACCTAAGTAAGAAATATAGTATTGTTTGGGGACTGTGTGAGAATTTCTCCCTCTCTCTATATATAAAGTCTTCCCCTCTCTCTCTAAGCTGAACAAGAATTTGTGGAGGAGAAGCCAAAATATTCGATACAATACTGTCTCTCTTTCTCTATAGTGTATAGTGAATTATTGAAGCTATTTTGTTGGATTTGGATTTATATTCTTCATCCCTGAGGCCAAGGTTGAAGAATTTTGTGCTCAATTTGATTTATACTTGTTCAGGGAATTATGAATGATTCAATGGTGATGAACGCTCCGAACGGGCCATTGAATACAAAATTTTCGGGCCATGGCCAAATTGAGGTTGATTTTGTAAAATGCAATTGCTGCGGTCTGACAGAGGAATGCACTTTATCTTACATAGAGACAATTCGGGCTCGCTACCAAGGAAAATGGATTTGTGGGCTTTGTGCTGAAGCTGTAAAGGACGAAATTTTGCGATGTAAAAAATTGATTAGCCCGGATGAGGCTATGGCCCGACATTTCAACTTCTGCAACAAATTCCGGCCATCAGGACAGCCGGAGGAGCCGACGTCACGTTTGATTACGGCCATGAGACAGATTTTGAGGAAGAGTTTGGAGTGTCCCAAGTCTTTAAGGTCGATGCCGAGTAGTCCGATGAAGAACATAGGGGATGGTAATATAAAGAAGATCGGGTTCCCTCGGTCGGAGAGTTGTATTCCGAGTTTGTCCCTGGTTGACTCGCCAGTACTGCGTGCTATGGGAGAAGAGCGAGGGTAGTATGGTAAATTTGAAAAGTCATTCGGATTAGGGCTAATGAAGAAGATGAGAAAATATATATGAGCTCTTTTGGTAGGACTTTTGCTAGGACTTTTGCGCATAGTTGAACGAAGTAATTATAGAGAATTATTCAAATATATTCAAAAACATTTTTTTAAAACCAGAGACAGCTTTCGAAAAGTCTTATTTGTCAAACAGTCGCATAATCTAGTGCTTAAATATTTTTCGTTGTAATTCTAAACAAAACAATTGTGTAATAAAATATTACTTTGGTATTTCTTCTACTTTGAAGTGGGTCGAACTTCATATTATCTATTTTTTCACGGTATAGAAAGATTTATCTAATCAACTCAACACGATGGTTAGGAGTGTTTCTTATCAATTTCATGCGACGGAAGGGTTTCTTAGGAAACCATTTTAGGCCGTAATTGTGTGTTTTTTTGGGTACTCGTATAGTCTTGCTCGATTTCAATTTCCCTGTGCTTATCAAGCAGGATAGATAGTGGATAATTATATAATCTAAAGGAGCCTCTAAGATCAGCTCTTACCTGTGAGCTGAAATTTGCATCTCGAAATTGAAAAACTCTTTTAAAAAGAATTGGTTTTACAATAAGGAATAATTTTTGATTTATGTGTAACATTATTTTTTGGAAAAACATGCTGTTAAAATAAGTTTAGAAAAAGCGAGAGCAAAACATACAATAAGACTCCATAAATGAATTGCCTTGTAGAAATTCAGCAAAACTGACACTCAGCATGCTTGCCTTTTGACTTGTGCCCCTTGGATCTGTACCTGAGGCCAGGAGCACGGCATCTCCAAAGGGGCCGTCTAGCACATTTTACGCCTCTCATTCTTGGACATAGCTTTCCAAGAGGGATGAAAGGACAGCCCGACTCAATTTACACCTCTAGACAGAATTCGGGATGGAGAGGGAGTCGATGGATGTGATGGACCCATTGAAAACCGGCTCATCACGTGAACTGCATGTCGGGTCCCACCCAGTTCTTCCTTCGTGCACCTAAATCTCAAATCATTTTGTTTTTGAGCCCTTTGTTTTTAGGGTAATGAATTGGTTCTGGTCCCACCCATCCCTCTCTCCCCATCCTTCTATATAATTGATTAAAATTATTTCTCTACTTATAATCCAAAATCCAAATAATTATGGACATGAGTAGGATTGGTAGCTGGTCAATTAAGGCACAGGCACGAGGAATGCTAGAATTCGTGTTCATACGAAAGAGATTGACTTTCTCGCCACTGGCTAGTGATGGCAACGGAGCGGGGCGTGTTCATACGAAAGATATTGACTTTCTCGCCACTGGCTAGTGTACTTTCTCGCCACTGGCTAGTGATGGCAACGGAGCGGGGCGTGTTCATACGAAAGATATTGACTTTCTCGCCACTGGCTAGTGTACTTTCTCGCCACTGGCTAGTGATGGCAACGGAGCGGGGCGTGTTCATACGAAAGATATTGACTTTCTCGCCACTGGCTAGTGATGGCAACGGGGCGGGGCAACCCCACCCCGCCCCGCCCCGCCCCGTCCCGCCCTGAAATACAAATTTAAAATAAGTTTTTAAAGGATGAATTGTCTAGAAATAAAATTATTTTTAATTTTTTTTTTTTACTTTTTCTTCACGGGACGGGTTCGGGACGGGGCATCCTTGCTCCGCCCCACGCCTCGCGACGGGACGGATTTTTTTGCCCCATTCGGTTTGGGGCGGGGCGGGGCGGGGAGGGGCGGGGCAAATTGCCATCACTACCACTGGCGTTCATATAGTCCTAACTACAGAATTATTTTATTTTATTTTATTATTATTAGTATTATTATTATTATGATCGTGGATGTCCAGGCCAACTTTACGCGCACCTCGACTAATTCCATGAGCTATAAAGTTTACAACCGGCTTGGAGTACTCACCTCAGTGGCCCTGAGGAGACTCGAAGTCCTAACTATAGATACCGAGCAATTCAATAAGAGTTCATGTTGAATCAATATAGGAGTTATTGTTAAAAATATGGGGCTTTAACTGAGTGATGCAAAGAAGTAAACATAACAGCAATGTAAGATAGAGATGACTTTGCTGTTATTTATATATACCAAATTTAGGATGCTAGAAAAAAAAATGCTAAGAGCAATTTTAGGTGTCAATAATTAATTGATTAGGTAAACGACTTTTAGAAGAAAGAAAATTAATCGTAAAGTTGGGAGAAAATGACAGTTCATTTTGCAATGGTACATTTTCAATCTGCCAAGATGGTAGAAAATCCCCGATCTTTGGAATCCGCATAACCCACTCTCTCTTTAAGCTCGTATTTGGTTAAGTTAAAATAGTTGATGAAAATCTAAGTTACAGTCAATAATAATATTAACCATTAGTTGATCAAAATTAAAATTTGGCTGCTTGTAAATGGAGAAGGGTCAAAGAGCATGGCCCTTGTCCTTAATTCTCGAATCTGCTCAAAATCTTTTATTTTGTTATATATTATTTTATATTTTTCAATTTAAAGTATTCTTGAAAAATAAAAATAACATTGAATAAAAATCTTGATTCAGTCCCAGGCTGCATCCCAAAAATCCTAAAAGGAGAAAATGGTAACCATCGCTCTACTCAGCTGCCATCCCTAACAAAATTTGCAAACAAAATCATGTAACCCTAATCCAGCCTGTGTGAAATTTTGGTTTATAACATACAGCCCGAAGCCCAATCCACATAAAAGTTAAAGGAAATCTTTTTCTAGAAATGGCACTGAAAATTAAATGAATTTTAATTTATCATTTTTGTTGTTTACTTATCTATGAGTCAGACTTTTGACACCTGGCGCAACGGCTCCTGGTACAAGAGCAAGCACCAGTTTAATTTAGGGGAGGTGATTTAGTAGTTGTGGGTGACAAAGTGGCTTAATTACCTATCTTGTGAAGAAGTCTCTGTGAATTAAAATTTAAATCAGAATTAATAATTAAATAAAATCAGATATTTTATGGAACTCAAGATTCTAACTATATATTTCATTAATTTTTATTAAAATTTACTACAAAATTGATTTTTATTTAAACCAACCCCACCCACCCCACCCCACCCCACCATACAAAATCTCTCTGCACAGCAAAATCCTCCAAATTCGAAGCTCCATTACATCTCTCTGCACAGTGGGGTTTGATACTGGATATGAAAATGAAGGAGCTTGTACAAAGAAGGGAAGTGCAGAGAAATGTAATGGGGCTTCGAATTTGGAGGATTTGCTGTGCAGAGAAATTTTATATGGTGGGGTGGGGAAGTTGAATAGTAGGGTAGGGTGGGGTGGGGTGAGGTATGGTGAAGAAGAAAACCCATTTTTTAAATTTTTTTCTTAATTTTTTTGATTTTTTTTTCAATTTATTTAATATGGTAATTATTAAGTTACCATTTGCAATTTTTAGAAAATTTGAGAATGTGATTGCAATTAGTTTTTTTCCTTTCTTTTCTTTTTGTTTTATTTGAATAAAGGGTAAAATCGTCAAAAATTGATGAAAATGACATTCAGCGCCAAGAAAATGGAAAGTAGGGACGTTTTGTGCCAATTACCCATTTAAAAACATATTAAAAACAGTCATCTTCTCAATGCACCCAACCCCAATCCCTAAACCCTAACCATGCAATCCCTCCCATTGGGAGGTAGGGACGCCGGATGGCTTCACCACTATAATTACTATTGATTTTGAAGAGAACTTATCTATCTTTATTTAATTATTTATTCTTAATTCTTTAAAAGTTTTAGTTGTGAGGAAGAAATGGAATTGATGGATAGGATAAATGAGATCAACTAAGGAGAAGGATATGATGGGCAGAGGTGACTATTGTGGTGCTCGCTAGCCAAGACAAATGAGTTTTTCCCCATGGGTGGGGTTGGGTGAACTAGGGCTTGAAGTTGAGTGGATTGGGGATGATGAATATCTTCAGTCCATTGAGAGATGTTTCGATGAAACTGAGGT